TATCTCTTATATTATCTTATCATAGGCCTATTTTATTTTATTTTTTTAACCAACATGCCTACCTAAATGTTTCCTAATGTTCTGGCTTGCTTTAATCTATCTAACAATTATTTTTCATTGTTTTTACACTTTTATTCTTTTCTTTTACACCCCAGTACAAAGGATAAGAGCGTTTTCCCTTCTCTCACCGGTCCACGTCACCTAAAAGGCATCGCTGATGTGTGAAATGATGGCGCCTTACATTGATAGTTTTTCAAAATCCTTTACTAGATGAATTTAACCTATGTTTCTTTTTAATCATAAATAGGGATTATTAATCCGCATCAACATCATCTGGTTCCTGGCCTGGGTAAACATATGGCGACAGCAGGATGCCTCCTTTCTAATTACGTAACGCTTTATTCCCGTCTGCAAACAGGAGCGCTGTCATAAACCAGCGGAGCGCAATAAAAGAGAAAAGAAAAACATCATTTACTGACCACGAGATTCGCCACTACACGGCTAAATAAGAAAAACATTATTTTAAATCCAGGATTAATTATTCATAACAAAATGGAAAAGAGCGCAAAGTATCCATCGCTCCTGTTCCATCGCACTTTCCATGCGCGTTTGTTCTGGATCCTCCGTTCAAATAATAAAACAGGAGAAGAAGCTTTAACGCACAAATACACACCGTTGCTGCTTACAGTCTGCCATCTTTGTAACAGGTCCAAAGCGCAGGGTTTAATAGAAGTTATCCGGGTGGGAGCATCGTCTGATGATGAGGATGAGGATGATGATGGAGCAGAAGGTGCACTGCTGTGGAATAAAGGAGCGGCGTCTGAGCTGCGTCTTAAAGGGGTACACACACATTTATTTTAGGTACAGCTCAGCCATGATGTACGGAAGAGGATTAGGGCCATTGAAGAAATAATTAAAAAAAAACCTGATTTTTAAATATTATTTCAGGTTACTATGGGAAAAAAGTCAGAATTCGGATTTTAATCTCAGAATTCTGACTTTTTTCTCAGAATTCTAATTTTTATCTCAGAATTTAGACTTTAAAGGGGAACACCGTTTTTTTTTTTTTTTACATTGGGCCCTTGATTTTACATTATTAAATCATGTTCTACACATCCATATGAGTCTTTTGTCATTTGGAGCTGTTCTGATGATATTCTGTTATGTCTTCCTAGAGGCAAATGACTTGAAGGCACGAACTAAACTGTTCATAATTTATCATTTATGGTACGCCAGCATTCATAACATGTAGGCGAATCATTGTCCCCCAGAAATCCGTGGTTATATTTTTTATATTTATATTCATATTTTTTAAAAAGAAAGCGGCACATTTCTGACGTCATAACGTCGATCAAGGCCCAATGTAATAAAAAAACGGTGTTCCCCTTTAATCTCAGAATTTTGGATCTTAATGCAGATGGGCACTTTAAAGCAAGATATGTGGGAGTGCTCAGCTTCACTGAAAAAGATGTGAGTTGTTTGGGAGGGCCAGTGACACATTGGTTGAAAATGACGGAATTAGGCGAGGGCACGTAAAAAGTGATGCTATTTCTTTAATGGAAGAGCAGAAGGTGATTAAAACAAGAGAACTATTTTAGTCTCTAAAACAGACAGGGCTACATCTTGATGCTAAATGCTAAAATTCTGAGAAAAAAAAAGTAATAATTCTGATATTTAAGTCAGAATTCTGAGAAAAAATTCAGAATTCTGAGATTTAAGTTTGAATTCTGACTTTTTTGTCATATTATACTGAAAGAAAATGTAAAAATCAGTTAACTTTTTTTTTTCCCTGTGGCCCTAACCCTCTTCCATAATAATGCTTCTTGTCGCACCCATATTATAAAGAACCAACAGGTGAACATCAGGAATTGTATCAAGAAAAACTTTGCTTGATACAATACCTGCAGTGGGGCCTGCTTTCTTCAAGACTGCACAAGCCTCTTCTGCTACTCTATACTTTTAATATGGGCTCTTTATTACTATATATATATATTAGTGTTGCACCGATACCGATACCAGTATCGGATGGGGCCCCGAAACTGCCCTAAAATGGTGGTATCGGTATCGGCGAGTACCAACAAATAGGGCACCGATACCATTTTGAGAGCCATAAGTTTTAATCAACTATTGTCACCCACTCCTGGTAGGCAATAAAAAGTTCTACTGGATTCACTTTGTATT